GTCCTCTACTGACCAATCAGACTGCAGTGTTCACAGCTCCACCTTTTAGTACCAGATCTGTGTGCTAGGTACCCCAACAGAGGGGGGACCAAACATGGGGACGGTACGGAATGGCTCCATCGGTACCATCCACAACTTTTCACAGTGGAAACGGAAAACAAGCACACCGGACTGAGCTATACAGTACTGCTCGGTGGAAACGGGGCTTAAGTTAACCTCTAAAACACCTGCATGTTTTAACTTGACTCTGAAAAGAACTGTTCATCACTCATTTTTGATGTCAGTCACATCCATCTGCAGCCTTGATGAACAGAATTTGCTCACAGTTGAAACTTCAGGATGAAATTTGTTTTATATACAAAGTCTTTTCGAAGATTTGGGAGATTTTCTTTGTTTCAAAGAAATACTGTTAACAGAAATATGAGTACTGCAGTAATCATAAAATATATGAGGTTAATGATTTCTTCTCGTGTGGACTCTCAACTCATAGTTACGTCTGAAGTCTTTCCCACAGATGTTGCAGGAAAATGGCTTCTCGCCTGTGTGGATTTTCGAGTGGCTGATCAAATTAGTACTGAAACTGAAAGCTCTCCCACACGTTACACATGTATACGGCTTCTCACCTGTGTGAGTACTCATGTGGAGTTTCAAGGCACTTTTAAGTCTGAAAACTTTCCCACATGTTTTGCATGAATACGGCCTCTCTCCCGTATGGATTCTTGTATGAGCCGTCAACAATGATGGCCAACCGAATTTCTTCCCACAGGCACTACAAGAATACGGCTTCTCGCCTGTGTGGGTTCTCAGGTGGCGTGTCATCTGACCGCTCGTTCTGAAATTTTTCCCACAGGTGGTGCAAGTATGTGGCTTCATATCTGCATGGATTCTCATGTGGACCAACAAGCAACTGTGGCGAGCAAATGCTTTTCCACACATTTTGCAAGAATATGGCCTCTCACCTGTATGGATTCTTACATGATTTTTCAGATCTGATATCCGAAGAAATCTTTTCCCACAGGTGATGCAAGAATGTGGCTTCTCACCTGTGTGGACTCTTGTATGAGCCTTCAGTATTGATGTCTGACTGAATCTTTTCCCACAGGTGTTGCAAGAATACGGCTTCTCACCTGTGTGGGTTAAAAGGTGTCTCTGCAAATATGACTTGCACCTAAAAGTTTTCCCACACGTGCCACATTTTACAGACTTTTTACCTGTTTGAATATCGCAGTGAAATGTTACCATGGTAGGATTAGTTGTACTGTTAGTTTGACTGTTGCTATTGTGATGTTGAGTGTGTAGCACTATCTCTGCATTTCTAGTCGGTCCGGAGTCTCCATGCTCGTGATCCTGATCTTGGCTCTGAGAGTTGTGAAAGAGGAGCAGGTGGTCACTGTTTGGTTCTTGCACCACAGAGCTGTTAACTGAAATGTAGTTTAGGTGCTTTTCTTTCACCACACACTGAGTTTCATCCAAACTAAAGCTCAGAGCTTCACCGTAGTCACTTTCCTCATCAGTAGAAGTCACCATAAAAGCATCAGTCTCCTGCTTCAGCACAAGTTGCTCTCCCTCCTGACTGGTGCACAGTTCATCCTGTTCCTCTTTTATCTGTGGAAGCTCATGGTCCTCTTGGTCCAGACTGGAGTTCCTCTCCTGAACACAGAGCTGCTGGTCAGAGAGAACCTCCTCCTCCTTACAGACATGTTGCTGTGGGAGCT